AAAACGTACCTAGGGACGCACCCGAGTGAAGCGACGGTGAGTCGCTAGTATATAATACGGAAATGTGGTTAGTAGGTAGGTACACACCGAGAAATTATATACAGTACCTACAACCTAAAGCGAAATTCTGCAAAATTTCAATTTATATGTAAATAACACCCGTTATTCCTCACGTCTTAAAAAAATTAGGTTACTTATTTTTTTGATACCATCAAATCATACGAAACCAGCTCAATATTATCATTTTAGAACTATCGTTTATCGATTTAGAACGCCAAAACGAAAATGAATATAGGCATACACCAGTCCACAAGTATGTTTGGCCGACATCCAGGAAAAGATTTCTCGACTACCATACTTTCTAGACAATCTTGTCAGGGCATCTTTAGACTGGAGAAGGTCAGCATAGCATTTTTCAGACGCAAATAGATCATTGTATGCTGTCATAGATTGTCGATATTATATGATCATGAACGAATTAACCACTGGACCAGACATATAAGCGGACGTACCTTTAACGGTCATGTCAGTAACCAGGGAATTTTAGCCTAGGTCGTTTGTTTTTTGTGTCAGTCTCAAGCACTTACTTGTCAACAAAACATCTCCCAAAAATGACTAAATGTTCTGTTAAATGGTGTAAAAACTATAACGGCGGAAGCAGCACTATTTCTTTTCACTTGTAAATACATTATTTTATTACATTTATTGTTATTTATCACAAAATTTAATTAAATGTAAAATAAAATGTCATATTATCCAAATATGTTAAGTATAGTCGATATTTCTATGTATTGTTGACATCTGACAACCATCATAAACGGGCTGGATTATACCATTCAGAACAAATGACAAAACTGTCGAGTGAGTCCATTTGACATCGACTAGTGCTTGACAATGTCGAAAAATATATCGATATTTGACGAAATAACTGAACAAATTGTGTTATTTGTACAGTACAATAACATAAAATACTTTTATCACAGTATCCTACAATCTGATGACAATAAATTTATAAAAATATTTTCTAAATCAAATAAAAATATAAATGCAAAAATTATAATTAGTATGTGTACTTAATTTTATATTTTATTTTATACCACATTTATATACTTTGGAATATTATTCCATTGTAATAATAATAAAGATCATTTTATTTCAACACATAAATTACACAAAATCAAACAATAATGTTTTAGCACTAAACTTCTGGGTTAGCGATTTGTAATAAAACACTTTACCACTTGCACTAATTATTTTACTTTCACGATCCAACACTCACTTTTTCACAATTTGCAATCATTTTTTCTTTTTCCTAATTTTACAAATGTTTATTAATAACTGAGCAATATTAGGACAGTGTCACATTTTTATAACTACCCGAGACAATGAATTGCCAATTAAAATACTTCAATAATAGAATCAACAAAATCACTTTATTTAATTAAATTAGCTTAATATTTTTTTATCTTTACTAAATAATATTTATTATATATTAATGGAATATACACCCGATATTCATTTGTTTATTAACATTATTGTAGGCCAACAGAATGTTGCCATCAATGCCATCGTATTTATATAAATCAAATTAAAAAATAATAATTATTTGACACATTATTATTGCCTTTTTAATTCATTTATTTTAATTTATTATAATAAATACAGATATTTTAAATTAAAAGATGTAAAATATGATGACTATGCTAACCAATGTCTAAAATGTCATTCATTGGTTCATCGATATATGTATTTTATCGATTACGTTCAAACACTAGAAATATTGTATTGTGTATCAGTGTTTATAATAATGTAATAAAATCTTTGTGTGCGTTATGCGTCACTTGGTTAAACTAGTTTTCATACATTTGTATTTTATGTCAGGTCCAGTCTCTAATTCGCCCATGTATATGATACCCGAAAAAGAATTGTAATTTATCGCTCGGGTTCGTCCCTAGCTTGCTTTCCAATACAAACTTTCATTCCTATTTTCACCCCCTTGAGGGATGATTTCCGGAATAAAAAGTATCCTATGTCCTCCCCAGGGTTTCAAACTATCTTCTTACCAAATTTCATCTAAATCAGTTCAGTACCACAAACGTAACGTCACAAACTCACAACCTCACAAACTCACAACCTCACAAACTCACAACCTCATAAACTTACAAACTTTACCTCTTTATAATATTAGTATAGATAATTATTATAAATAACTAGCGACTTACCCTCGTTTCGCTGAAGTTCGTCCCTAAGTACGTTTTGACGCTTAGTATGGAAGAGATTTCTTTTTTTTTTCAATTTTTTTTTTCGTGTATTTTTCCGATATTTTAAGAGTTGTTTTGCTATTCGGAATGAAGACATATCTATCAAAACAAATATCATAAAAATCGGTCCAGCAGTTTTCGAGTTATAAGTGTTGTACAAATCCGACTTTGTTTTATACATATAGATTACCGAAATTTATTGGCCATTACCCGAATTAAACTTGTCAAATTAAACCTTTTAATTATACAAGAGAGTACTACAAAGTCATTTGCAATATCTTATTACCTTTGTTGATATTGCGTGTGTATTGCATGACATGAGTAACGTGTAATGCGGTACGTATTTGTTGTGCTCGATATAAATTAATCGCATTTATATATTAACATCTTAGTTGAGATTTTTCAATATACTTAATATGTACTTATATAATATATTGTTTCATATTTTTATAATATGAAATGTAAATTAAAAGTAAGCTAAATTGCTTGGTTATTTTTGATGGGATTTGAGACTTGTGAAATGTTTTAGGAAAACCTAAAAACACATATTTTAGACCGCCTGTAATATGTAAGAGTCCTCAGAAGTTTAAAACGGATCAAATGAGACCAAACTCGAAGGTTTTACTAGTAGCCATTAAATAATTCCATTACTCATCTTCTAATTAAGTCGATTTCATTGACATTCGGATGACGATGAAGATGTTTTAAATCGATAAACGTAATAAAACGTAATAAAAGCATGTTAAACATGTGCAATTTTTCAATTAATATACAATTTTTTATTTAGAAATTTGATCTATAAAATACTAAAAAGCCACACCGAGCACTGCAAGGTCAAGATTTATTTATGCCCAAGTTGCACCATCTTTTTCTACTTTTACTAGCCTAAACCAAATATGTAGTTGCTTCCCCATACAAAATTTCATCCCCATTTTCACCCGCTTAAGGGATGATTTCCGGGATAAAAACTACACTATGGCCTTTCCAGGGTCTCAAACTATCTTTTTATCATATTTCATCTAAATCGGTTAACTAGTTTCGGAGCTTATTCGGTACAAACGAACAAACAAAAAATCTTTCCTCTTTATAATATTAGTATAAATAACTTAGTATATTTGCTTTTGTTTGTAATCATTCCCTTCTAGCTTGACATTACATATTTCACAATTCTAATCATTTATTGCAAGCGTTTTCGTCATCCTTAAGACATCAAGAATTTCGCAAGAATAGGTAGGTAGGTCTATCGTTTGTATCTGATGAACTATAAAGAACACCTTATACCTACTTTTGTCCCAGTATCTATAGGTAATTAAGATCAGGGCGTGATTAGCAGGCCTCGAAGCAATCAATGAGTGGTATCAAAGAAGTTTTTTCTAACCTCTTTTTGTTATAAAGTTTTTCATACATAATTCTTTAGATTATCGATTTTCAAATTTTTGCAGCCGGAGCTGCTGACCCGATTATTCTCCTGGTATTATGATATGCGTAAAATATGTTCATTGTTGCTTGTGTTTATAACGTTTTTAATTTTTAAGGTTTTACGTAATTATTATATTTTTTTATTTTTATATTTATCATTTTGATATTAATTTTTATTATTGGAATATACATTATACTCAATATTTTTTAAACATTATATAGTTAATTGATGCTTGATGAATTCATATTAAATTTTTTTTTAAAGAAGTCTCGTTTACTACTTCTACGTTAATGGATTTTGATCGTTTACTGCACCGGTAGTTGCATATTTACAGACCATTTGTTTACCGAATAAGCCTTGACAATAAAACTGTTAAGGCTCTTATACTATTAATAGAAAGCTCTTTAAAACAAAGGTTACATGACAGTTTGACCTTCCTTGCGGCGTAGAAGGAATGGTACTGGAAAGTAAAAAGGAAATGGCAAAGGCGAGCTTCATAAATAAAACGGCACGCCTGTAAAACTTTCTTGCTTACTACAAACGTCATGTATATTATAAATTAAAAATTAAAAAAAAACCCTACGCAAATAAATTGTCATTTAACGATTACACTGGCTGGCACGCGTGCAGCACGTAATCGAGTAATCATACGCTAAAATGCCTTACATCATTTTGGAAAAGAGCTCATACTCTTACACTGCTGGACTGGTATTAACCAAACATAGCACTACCGCAAGGAAACTAGCTTTCAAATGAAAAAAACTGCATCGAAATCGGTCCATCCGTTTGAGAGCTACGATGCCACAGACAGACATCGACGTCGAACTCATAACACCCCCCTTTTTGCGTCGGGGGTTAAAAAATGAAGGCTATTTTGAAATGAATACCAACTATTTTGTTTACCAATTATACAGTATATAATTTATAGTTAAAGCTCAGCATTTTGAAAAATAATTATGGGAAAGGTTTTTTTTGGAACCTTATCCCATAAGATATTGTAATAATCTAATCATTGGTCATTATTAATTGGAATAGTAAATGATGATGTTATAATGTTGTGTATTATGTATGTTACAATTTAGTATATAAAAAATATATGGTATAGATATATTTAATACTCATAACTCATTAGAAAATCTAATCTGTCCTTATTTCTATATAATTTTATATTTCAATGAGTGTAAATACTAAATCCCGAGTTATTTATTTATATCTTTTTTATTTAATCTGTGGTCAACTATATAGTGATCGCTAAGCTGTTCGTCTCTGCCTCGTAAATTGATCGGTGGAGCGGCAATTTGATTAACTGTATAATACAGGAGGCCAAATGGGGCTACAGACGTACGATGGGCGCAATGTTCGCCTACAGCAAGCAAGCCGATCGAATGCTGATGTCCTACAATTATCAGGTGCAGCAGTGCGCGAGGGCTGGCCACGCGCGGACTGCATCGAGGATGACGCTCATACAGTGCTTAAGGTAAATGAAACTCTTATAGATTTACGCGAATATTTGACATTTTAAATAAAACTATCTTTTCGGATTTTCTTTCCCGTGACCATGATTTCTGTAATGCATTCGAAGCGTTGGGAACTGAAAATCAAAATAAATCCGCGAAATAATACGAAAAGATAGTCTTATTTAGAATGTAAAGAAATCATACAGTATATTTATTAATTGTAATATTTATATAGAAAATTTAAACATAAAAAATAAAAATCCATACTAATATTCTAAATATGAAAGTGTTTGTTTGTCCTTCTTTCACGTCGAAACGGATTGACAGATTGGCGTGATGTTGTGTAGAGATAGTTGGAGGGCTGGAGAGTGATATAGGCTACATTTTACCGCGGGAGATTATTTCATTCCCACGATAAAACACGGTTTAATACAACTCAAAAAATTATTTATGATCAGAATTACTTGAAACTTGGCATTAATGCTCTTAACCCGAGAGCTCGTGACGAATTTTGGGAAGGTCCTTTAAGCAAGTTGAAATGTGAAAACATATAATTTCGTGAATTGGCGAGTCCAGTCCCGCGAGTCTGGTATAGCTTTAGCGGTTATTTCTCTACTGCGCAGTATACAACATTTGCAAAAAAAAATTCAAAAAAACATATTTTTGGCAGCTTCATTTTTGTTTAATCCTTTAATTTAGCTTTCATATAATTCAAAAAAAAGAACCCCAGACGTTTTTGTCGGTTATAAAGTATTGCCAGACCTCTCCAAAGACTCATTTTTTTTATTCCAAAAAACATACTTTTGGCAATCTGTTTAAAAATTCACGAAATTATATGTTTTCACAATTTCAACTTGCCAAAAGGACCTTCCCAAAATTCATCACGAGCTCTCGGGCTATCTTCAATAGAATTAAATAAATACCTATTTTAGCATTTTTCGAAATTCATCCTATATGGGGGTAATATAGAGAATAAAAGTTTGTATGAAAACTACCTTTTTTGAGTTTTTTTTGTAGTTTTAGCGCGAGCGAAGCCGCGGATTCTGCTAGTATTGTATATATTTACATAATTCTGTCATATCTGCCCCTACAATACTCTCTTGTGTTTGCAATTTATCAACAAAAATAATACATAGTACGTATATAATTTCTCAAGAAATTATTTTTTTATCAAGTAATATATTGTATCAAAATTGCAACAGTTGGCTTTTAGGTTTTAATGACGAATTCGTTCAATACTACAGTGGTATATTTATACTTTTATGCCTCTACATAAATTTTATGTTACAGACTCCTAAAGAGAGAGTTAAGTTTCACGCTTGAGACGTACCTAAAAATATCCAACCTGTTTAAAATGACTTTATGTTCAACTGTTTGGTTTCATAGTAAAGAATTGTACGTAACAACGACAAGTATTGGAAAGAGGAGAAAAGTGGGTGTAGTAGAGTAATAATATATTTTCTGTTGTAAAACGTTAACTATAACATCAAACAAATCAAATCAAACTTGACGATACGTTTGGCTCAGTTTGTAGTGACGCTACTTGCTGTGCCAGCGGTTGCGGGTTCGAGTCCCGCTGGGGGCATTCATTTGTGTGATGAGCACGAATGTCTGTACTCCAGTCATGGGTGTTTATATTTATAATATGTATGTATCTAAAGTTATAATATAATATGTGTAGTTTATCAACTATCTGGTATCCGTAACACAAGCCTAGCTTAGCATGGAACTAAATAGTGTTGTGTGTTAATGTCTCAACATATTTATTTATTATTTTTATAAATATCATTGATTCAAATAATAGAAATATAGTTCGTCTATAGGCACAACTGAGTGTCGTGTTTCATCGTTTACTTATTCGCAATACTTATATTATCTAATGTTAATTGCTATTGGCACGCACGCAGCCATTGCCTGTGTTTGAAACAAATTCGTAGTAAATCATCCTAGAAATACATTTATACGTAACTCTTATACTATTTTTAAATAATGAAGTGATTTAATTATTAAAAACAAGATTTTTCTTTAATTAATTTATAAAATAAACTAGCGACTCACCCTCGCTTCACTTGGGTTCTTCCCTAGGTTCGTTTTAAAGGTTAGTATGGAATAGATAAACTATATACTATATGATATATAGCCTTCCTCAATAAACGGGCTATCTAATGCAAAAATAATTTATCAAATCGGATCAGTGGATCCTGAGATTAGCGCGTTCAAACAAACAAACAGACTCTGCCTCTTATAATAATATTAGTACCTATAGATAATATTGCACTATCTGAAAGCTAATAAGTAGGTTATTTTCTAATTTTTTTGTTTGTCCGACCTAATTTCCTTATTTTAATGAGAAAATCCGCGTTACAATAACAAAGTGTTATTATTATAAAATTGTTATTAAGTCGGTACTTATAATATCCGATCCGATTATTTTAATTATTAATCTGTACACAGAAAAAGTGGAAACCAGAGATAATATGAATATTTTATCATTTTGCGGAACGAATGATACGGTATTGATTTATAGTGATAGATAATAAAGTGTATAAATAAGGTTGTTGCACGCGAAACCACGGGAAGCGGGCATTAGCTAATAACAAATACATATATTGTTATATATTCTCCGTTCTCTCTTGTTCCAATTCCGATTTTCATTTTCCAACGAAAATAACTATACAGAATTCTAATACATAATGTTCTGAATACAAATTGTTAAAATTAAAGTACAGTTAAAATGTTACTACAGTAATATCGTTAAAAAAACCACAAGAAGCTCTTCAATTTTTAGCCCAATTTTATAATAAAACAAACATTGTATTTTATTTACTGTATTGAATTTTATAATAAAAATAGGTATTAAAGCATCGAAATTCGCATGCAAATCTCTTGTAGGTGAAGTTCAATTATTCGTATTAACATCCTTAATTAACACTTCCACTTCATGAACGCACATTTCCTACACAAATTATTAACATAATGAGTTACCGTGATTTAAAAAATACTTAAGAATTGCTTTGTATGACTGAAAAATTAAATATTTTAAATAAAACTATGTTTTCGGATTATTTCGCGGATTTATTTTGATTTTTGGTTCTCGACGTTTTATTTAAAATGTCAAATATTCGCGTAAATCTAAGAAAGTATTATGAAAAATAATAATTTATATTCAGCTACAGACGGTTTCCTTGTATGAATATATTTTAGATCTTTTACAAATTGTAACAATGTTAAGTAAATGCGAAATACTTAAAATCAGTAGGAGCTGACAGTTACCACACGAGTGCTAATAGATAAGAACTACGCGCATGTCACGAGAGACGTGCGTGGGGGATTTGCACACCGATTCTCATCCAAACATTTATTTATTAGCGACAATAGGGTTATCAACTGATCTTTATTGCCAACTTGGAAAAACTTAAACACAAATACTTTGCTTGTTTGTGTTACTTTTTCGTATAATTTGTTTTTGTCTCAAATAGATAATTTTGAACTGATGGTGTATGTATTCAGCCCTTTTTAACGTGCCACTGCTGGGCACGGGCCTCCCTTCAACACGAGAGGGATTAGACCATAATCCACCACGCCGGCCAAGTGCGGGTTGGCGGACTTCACATGTCTCGAAAACTTGCTAGGTACCTACTCTCAGATATGCAGGTTTCCTCACGATGTTTTCCTTCACCGTAAGACAAGTGGTAATCATGTTGTACCTACATAAATATAAAACGTTTGAAATATATGATTTAAACTAATAATTATTATTCATATTTAACTTAACATGTCTTAGATGCTGGTTAATTATTCTGTAAAATTATGTTCTATTCTAAATTGTTGTCCAGTGATCTTTGAGTTCATGTAAAAATCCTATCGATATAACACTTTCAGTTTACCGGAATTTTCCAATTTTCTTCCCACAACCTTATACGGACTATTATGAATTTATGAATCTTTTTTTTTTAAATCAACCCAATCGTCCAGCCATTCCCAAATAATGATTGCCTAAGAACGGCATTTTATTTTATCTTTATAGAAAATTAAGCTATTAGAATATTACATTTAATTATTGGAAAAATTAAAACTCATGGTGAGTAAATATAAAGTGAGTAAATAACAACAAAATCGTAAATTGAAAAAGTTTCTGACAAGTAGCCCTATAGAAGAATTTGTCAGTATTTGCGAATACTTGATCATTTTTCCACTGGAATTTATATCATACAATATGTTTACCAGTAAGTTAAAATTTGCTTAATTTAGTGACAAATATTAAATAAAGTTTAAAACAATAAGGTGGTACAAGTTTTTAATATTTTTTAATAAAATACAAACAAATGCACAGGGTAAACGTAATATGAACGTAATATTATATAACTAGCATTGCCCGCGGCTCCACCCGCGTTCAGATGACAAAAAACCAAATTCTTAGGTTTTACATATTAGTATACTCTTACATTGCACTTTTTGTATTTTTTCTCAGATATGAGATATTTTCCCGCCGTAAAAAGTATCCTATATGTTGACCCGGATAACCAGCTATCATCATACCTAATTTCATCAAAATCTGTGTAGTGGTATTCTCGTGATGCGGTAACAGACGGATAGACAAAAATTCTAAAAACTATAGATTCGGACTCTGTATCGATAATAATGTCTATTTCAATAAGATTTTCCAAAAAATATTTACATACAAAAAATATGTACAGATTCGACTTAGTTACAATTTTATTACATAGGTATATGTCGATTTTCTCGAGGTTAATTTAAACCAATGTCGACTAATTTTAGGATGTTTACAGTTATTTATCTCCAGCGATATTGTATCCATTTACGTCATATACCCGGTTTGTTTACAATTTGCTATCAATTACGTTATTTACTTGCAACAACGGTGATTATGCTCTCTCAATGATACTGCTGTAATTCACCGAGTGTGTATTGGGTATACATTTACTACTAATTATACACTGTTGGTACATGATATAATGCTAATATTATCTAGTATCTTTAATTTTATGCAATATATGTATACAGATAAATAAAATTGAAGTGTCTGTTTGTAAAGTCAAAATAGCAGCTATTTACTAAATTTAAGGTACTTAGTACCTGGGCTACCGAGCTTCGCTCGGAGTTTTTGGCCTACAGTACAATTTTCTTTTTTTTAAAACACTAAAAACTTGAATAAATACAAAAAATAAATAAAAGTAAAAACTTTGTACACGACTGGGGTTCGAACCCGGATACCTATGATAATCAACCTTGGCCGCTTGACCACGATGCTTATGCCCGAGCATACAAAAGTAGTGATCATATTTTGCGTGCGTAAGAAAATCGCATGAAAACTTTTTCCCAGACAAAACTAATCTAGATCGATTTATCGCCCCCGAAACCCCCCGTATACTAAATTTCGTGAAAATCGTTGGAGAACCGTTTCCGAGATTCAGATTATATATATATATATATATATATATATATACATACATACATACATACATACATACATACATACATACATACATACATAATTATTTCAATTGTTTAATGCTCACTTAATTTCGAATTAAGATTTGTTTGCACAGATTTTCTCATGCTATTGCTAAATACTTTTATATCAAAGGTTTATCCGTTCAGGTTTTTCGTACTCGTTGTTTTCAGTTTGAATCCTATTAGTAAAAAAATTGTAGTGTATGTTGTAAAACATATTATAATCTTTACTGAGGTCACTTTCTTTGGCTTATTAGTGACTCTAGCGACCCTTATTTCTTCCACTTGCATCCCTAATAGTAGTCTATTTACTCCAGGTCATTGTCTGTCTGAATTAAACTTCATCTATACGTTTAGCTGTTTTAGCGGGAAGAAATAACAGACATACATACACATGTACAAACAGACAAACTTTAGCATTTATAACAGTAGGTAGTATGATTAATGAATTTAAATAGCGTTTTTTTTTTCTTTTTAGGCATATTGTTCAAAATGAAGGTGCTCGGGCGCTTTTCAAAGGACTAGGACCGAACATAGTGGGCGTGGCGCCATCGAGAGCTATCTACTTCTGCACATACTCACAGGCGAAGGCGATATTTAATCAACACCTACCACCGGACACGCCGATAGTTCATTTGTCCGCGGCCAGTGCGGCAGGTTTGGAAATATTCTTATTATATTATTATGACAAAAAATTGATGTGTTTTTACCGTTTTTAGGAACCCTTATAATCACTTCGTTGTATGTCTGTGTGTCTGTCAAGATCCCTATTCGCAGAAACACGTGGAGGAATCCAATTGAAATTAATATCAAATACTCAGGTCTGCAATCCCCTGGAGCTGTGAAAAAAACAAACTTCTAAGTCAACACAATCAAAAGATACGGCCGTTTATGCGGCATATTTTGACACTCGCAACGGAATCAAAACCTATAGGGTACTTCCCGTTGAACTAGAATCATGGGATTTGGCAAGAAGCAATGTCTTATAGCACATGTAAAGGTAAAAGTAAAAATCTGAAAACTGTGTAGTAACAACATTACAAAAAAAATATGCTTTTTTGTGATTATAAACTTATTTTGATGTTTTATGTTACGGAACCCCCGGGTATGCGATTCAGACTCGCACTTGTCCTTTTTTATTCTTAACACATTTTGTTTTCTATTAAGCTATAAAAAAACTTGAAAATATGGAATCTAGTACTTTAGCTACCAATCTCTTTTTTCTATTCTTCGTGACATTTGCGAATTAATATTTTATATTCTTTGTGGTCAACGCACGCGCTTAAAAGCCATTAATCAGAGAAATGAATTCTAACGTTAAATCTTGTCTATTCTCCGCTCGTATTTTAAACACTACCCTCATTTGTTTTAAATTATTTATGTTTACGAGTGTTTCTCACCGGTGTTTGAAACGTGATTCTACATATTTTATAACTTTAAATCTGTAGTCTACGCTTCCAACTAATAATATTTTTTATCACAGACTAAATCGGACTCACAAACTCTGACCTAAATTTTTAGACAGTGTCAATCAGACTTGTGACAGACGGTTGATTGTATATAATAAGTAGCTACCTAATAATACCTATATGTACATCCATACTTAATATTATAAATGTGAAAGTATGTTTGTCTGTCTGTCTGTCTGTCTGTCTGTCTGTCTGTCTGTCTGTCTGTCTGTCCTTCTTTCACGTCAAAACGGAGTGACGGATTGACGTGATTTTTTGTGTAGAGATAGTTGGAGGGCTGGAAAATGACATAGGTTACTTTTTACCGCGGGAGATTATCTCAATCCCACGATAAAACACGTTATAATACAACCCAAAAATTATAGTAGTTAATAGTAGTAATGCTCTTCAATACAATTAAATAAATACGTGTTTTAGCATTATATTGAAGTTTGTACGAAACCCACTTTTTTATTTTTTTAGTGCGCGGGTTCTGCTAGTAATATATAATATTATAGTTTAAGTTTACAAAATGAAAAAGGATATAAGTGAAACTTAAAAGATTAATTAATAATAATTTAACTAATTTTGATGGTTTGAACGATCCGATAACGACGAGAAAACAGGAATGAGAAAACGAATTTATATAGAGAAAGTCTAAAAGTGAGGTAGATAGCATACCTACTAAGAAAATTATATAAACCAAATTTTATAGGTTTTCACAAGTGATAAAATGATTATTTTTAATTTTTGCTGAGAACCAGATTTTACGAAAACTTGAGTACTAGTTTGTTTACTCCTTATTTTCATGCCATACATATATATAGAACTAAGTAGATCGTTTGCCAATTTTATTATTAGGTCAATCTCAATGAATGTAAATAGAAGAGTCGGTTGTATGATTGAAAGTTGATTCCGACATTTGTACTTTGTACTTTTGAAAACAAGTAAAGCTAGCGATCCGTGTAGTGTAGCAGTGCATTAAGCAAGTGGTTAAAATTTCACGGCCAAAGCGTGTCTCAAACGTCGCTATATTTAAAATTCTGAGTTACATGTACAACAACATATAAAAAATAATCAAATATGTCCTGTTTTGCTCGATTGAGGAACGATAAAGCGGACAGATGGTTTGTTATTTCACAAAACGGATGTGCCTGCCTACTTCCATGTTAATCCGTATTAATAATATTATAAATGTGAAAGTTTGTGAGTATGGATGTTTGTTACTCTTAGAACGGCTGAACGGATCTAGATGAAATGGCACAGAGATAGATTATAGCCTGGAATAAAACATAGGTGACTTTTTATCCCGGAAAATGTACAGTTCCCGTGGGACAGGTTAGTTTCTGTTTTCCGCTAGTGTTCCAAATTTTCCTTTGAGAACTCCACACACTACAAACGTTGTATGTATTGATTTATTTATTTATTTATTTATTTATTTATTAGAACCAGGAACATTTTATATGATCCATTTCGGCCGATTAAACGATGAGTGTTAGGCGGGATCGAGCGCCGTATTGATGTAACAGTCGGCCTCGACAATCGAATAGCCCTTCAAATTTTTATTCATGGAAACGTATCATTGTAATGAGTGCGTTTTTAAATATCTGATTACAAATAACGAAAATATTGACCGATAAAAGTCTAAGCACAATTATCATATATTAGATTATATATTAGATTTCGACTCCAAAAGGTGAATAAATTCTTCATGGGCCTGAGTATACGCATATCTCAGACCAATAAAAAAGTATTTTATTTTTTTGAGACGCATATATAATAAGATTCCACAAATTGTCCTAGATTTACCTTTTCAAAAATTTTAAGATAAAATGTTATTTTGTCTTTAATTATTTTGCTAGTAAAAATATTTTGTTGAGCAAAGCGTATAACACTGTTCAAGAATTTCTTGTTGATGGAAATGTGTGGAATTAATATATATTGACGCATGTGCCGGCTATCGGGCGTAATATTAATGTTATTCGATATTTTAAAGAGCAACTGTTGAGTCTCTTGTCGGCTCTTCTCAACACAACTGCTTTTCGAGCCGGTTGTAGTTTCCTCACGGACTGACTACACTGACGCTCTAAAGTGACGACTCATAAGTACTTGTAATAAGTCTATTTGAATAAAATTTCATTTCATTATCAATAAAAGAACAATATTTTTTTTTAATAGAATACACGACTACATAATATGTTTTAATTTTTTTTTAATGAGGTATATATAATAACTATTATCTAAAAATGTTATGTCCCTAGCAATATCAATTTATTTGAATCAAAAATAATTAATGTGCTAAAAATACCCGCGTGCGTAATTTAGTGAACTAAAACGTTAACGTCACATATTCTAAGATACTTACGTCAATACGATGAAGAATATATGTATATCTTTTGTTTACACATTTATTTTAGTAGTGGAGCCCAAAAGGGGATCTTGGGATTTACTCAAGCGCTGCAGATTAACATAATGGGGGGATACCCTGCACTCAGTTGAGTACCTCCACCAAATATACATCCTTTAAAAGAGGCCGTGCGTCTAGTGCAGCCGATCAAAATATTAAAAATATATTTTGATAAGTTAGAAATACTAAAAATCGTCAGATTAAGGTATGGTGGGCTAATTACATCCTGAAAAGTAGGAATTTCAATAATCTGCCGATTTCCATAAGCCGAGGTATTAATAACCCAAGTTTTATATATAAAAATCAGCTTTTATACTATAACGTAAGTAGAATTATGATTTCATGAAAAGGGTGTCTGGCAAGGGTTTGCCACGATGTTAAGTGTCTGGCATTGAATGACGTGATTTTTAATAATATTCTGAAGGTAATACCAAAAAATCACACTTTATTATTTGACGAATTTAGATCGGTATTTTACACACCTTTAGTACCGTATGCCTGCCAAAGCCACCATAGCCTGAACTTCATAATGGTCATCGTTCTTATCTGTGTTGGGAGCATGCGCTGACAAACTTTCAGCCTTTATAAAATGACGACGGTCTGTCGTTCACGGGCTCTTGCTCTATGAGTCGAATCTGTACATTAAATATTTTTTGAAAAATCTTTTATTGAAATAGTCAATATTATCGATACAGAGGCCGAATCTATAGTTTTTAGAATTTTTGTTTGTCTGTATGTCTGTGACCGCATCACGAGAAAACCACTGGACAGATTTTGACGAAATTTGGTATGATGATAGCTGGCCATCCAAATATATAATCTCATCTCTGAGAAATCTATACTTAACGTAAATGTACATAAAAGTCAGACATATAACTTCCTTACAACTTTGTCGGAGTTAGGTAATAAAATAAACGAAATCATGCAAAAAAATTAATTACTATGTAACATTGTGTACCAGTTTGAATCTAGAAATAAAATTTTCCATTAGTCGAGTATTTAAATTAAGTATTTTGTATAACAAAAAGTACTAAAGAATAGCGACAATTCATGCGACATTTTGCGCAGTGCGTTGATCATTTTTCTATTTACAGAATATTATGATGATATTTTATAAACGGGAAAAAATTTTTTTATTAAATTCCTAGTAGACAGGTTAGGACAGATAGGGGTCCCCCCAACCTTGTCGTGGTGGGGGGCTCAGTAGTGCCCGGCAATACAGCCGGGCGCGAAGTCAAGAAACGCACAGGGAGGTGGCCCGCTTCGGTGGGCGGTGGGAGGCGGCCGTCTTCGGAGGGCGGTGTACCATGCGGGTTGCTCCTGGTACTTCTCTGATAGCAGAATAGACCTTGGAGCAACCCCGTGGTTGTTGTGGTCTGCTTCGGCAGACCTGCCGTCGGGGCGTCGTAGTTGAATGCGTAAGCGATCCTGCGATGCCCTATTAAGACGGGGGACGGCTTTGTTGGGTTTTAGTGGGTAGTACTGGCTTTGCCGGTGAGTCCCACACTTCGTGCGTAAATGCATTTCCCAACGTTAAAAAAAAAGGACAGATAGGGGATGGGTTGGTTATGTTGTTCATTGTATTCGATTTCGTGCTGATTTTTGATAATACAAAAATTTGACAATATACTTGGGGTTATATAGTATTATGAGAATGTTTCCGTCGATAGGAATGCACATATATTATAACGTTCATTCTAACTAGGTCAATTTTAAATTAATATTATTTTTTAGGACTAAAAGCATTTAATTTTTCAATTAAAGTATATTATCGATGAAATCTTGTTATCTCTATGATATATTAAAATTATATCTATTTATTCGAGAAAAAATACTTTATGGAAATAAAAACTCCTAGGACTTATTCCGGTATAGATCTCATAATTATAGGATTTCCGTTCAATAAACTAAGCAGATACTCAACTACATGTTCAGTAAGGTAAATATTATAGTAAAACTTTCCAGTCCACAGACAGACGACAGTTGTAACTTATTGTCTGTAGTTACAAATGTATATATTTAGTTTCTCTCTCGTTAAGTTCATAGTAAACCAACTTTAGTACTGAATTGATTTTATGAGTATTGGCAGCTTATGTACATATCTCGTGTCTTACCCTTTTGCAGGCGACGTTAATATAGTGTATCTATATTTCGTACTCACAAGTTATTCGTTTCAGAAATGACCTATTTTGAACCCCCGACGCAAAAAGAGGGGTGTCTGCCTGTGGCGTCGTAGCTCTCAAACGGATGGACCGATTTCGATGCGGTTTTTTTCATTTGAAAGGCAGTTACCATGCGGTGGTTCTTAGCTATGTTTGGTTAATATCGGTCCAGCAGTGTAAGAGTATCAGCTCTTTTCCAAAATGATGTAAGGCATTTTGGCGTATGATTACTCGATTAAGTGCTTCACGCGTGTCAGTATAATCGTTTAATGACAATTAGCGTAGGGGGATTTTAAATTTTTAATTTTCTATATTAGATAGTATTTAACAGTTTTATAATCTCAATCAATTCCAACTTTTTCATTCAGTTCTAGAAATATTCAAACATTTCTTACTATTAAAGGGTGTAGAGTTCTTCTGCTGAATTCTTGAGAAGTTATTTTAAGTGCTTATAATATTTGTATTTATAATCAAGACATTGATTTGGTCCTCTATGTCATGAAATGAGTGTTCAGAGCAAGATTTGTCTTCACACGTTCATTTTCTGAAGCTGATTCTTAAAAACTGTTTCATACGATTTATATAAATAATTCTGTACTATCCCAGTTGTATAAGACTTTCTTTAAGTTAGCTATTGTCTGAAGAAAAAAGTAAAAACTAAATATGCGTTTTAAAAAAATATTAATACCAAAATCGATTTTTAGATATAAATCTTACTTTTATAAAGAACCTACAATCAACCCAATATTTCAAATATGTCATTATTTTTTATTCTATTTATTAATTCGGGACACTTTTAGCTACCTATTTATCTGTATTCCGAACATTAACTTTGACAAGTTTTCGTATTTGTGATATTAATATGATAACACGAACGTTGTTTTCACCGAAAACGTATCTGTTTGATATTTATTTTGCTAGTAAAAATATATTTAAGAACTAAGAAGTATGTGAGCATGACTAAAAAGTCTATTTAAAGCACATGGAAGTAGCACGTTGTACTAATAAATTCTTAAGATATGTATTGTAAAACAATATTCAGTATGTGTGTCATCCTATTGAACGCGCGTGCCGTATCTTGAACAAAAAATGGCGGTTCCATAAACTGTCAACATTTCATAATAAGAAATATATTCATTTTTAAAGACTTTCGGTAAATTTCCGCGCTTTTAGGGCGTAGATGATTTTTTTTTGTTTTCTTTTTATATGGTAAAGATAACATTGCAGGTTATATAGGAATATTAGTTTGTTTATGAAATGTCTAACTTTGTTTTTATTATTTCCATCGTACTTGTTGTTGTTGATTAACTCTGGTCCCGTCTAAATTCGTTCACATAATATTTTCGAGGTTATTGCGTAAGCATAACAAAAATCAAATGCGTATCTATCTCTTCCGATCCCACTTCATTTTAGTACCTACGGGTATTTGTGTAGCTTTTTTTTCGCTTTTAGTTCCTTCTAGAAATTATTGTATGGCAGTCTCAAACGCCGTATTTTGTCTAAACTGTGTGTACACAATTGGGTTTGTCCAGTGGTCGAAATTGGGCCAGAATCATTATTGAAAATTTGAGCAAAATATAGGTATATGAATAGAATTTAATTATCTGTATTTAAAAAAAACTACCTGTTGCCAAAATGTTTTATTGATAACATAATTATAAAATGACGCCGAGCTTTAGCGTCAATAGCACCTAAAATTAGAAAAAGAAAATCGGCTTAAAACAAAAAAGAAAATAATTAGTACTGAACTGTTTCGTCTTTGTATATTTATATGTAGGTACACACACACACACACACACACATATATATATATATATATATATATATATATATATATATATATATATATATATATATATATATATATATATATATATATATATATATATATATATATAATCTAACCTTGCTTAAACCGCGCCTGCGGCCAGATTAAATTGAGCAGTGCCAGTCAAATACATGTACTAATAATTTTTCATATAAGATTTTTAAATAATAAGCTGTAAACACAAGATGGAATAAATAAAATGTTCTATTTCAGGATTCATGTCGTGCACGATGACTAACCCCATTTGGTTCGTCAAGACGCGGCTGCAGCTCGACGGGCAAAACATAACGGCGTGGGAATGTATTAAGAGGATATACACTAAAACGGTAAATAAACTTTATTATAGGACTAATATTATATATAAGACAGTTTGCGTGTGTGTGTTTGTATGAAAAACGATACAGAGATAGATTATGTGTGTGGACTATGGAATATATCTGAAGGCTGAAAGTAACACAACGCTAAAAATCTATACGTATAATAAAATTGTAACCAAGCCGAATCTTTACATAAAATATTTTTTGGAACATCTTATTCAAATAGACATTATTGTCGATACAGAGGCCACATCTATAGTTTTTAGAATTTCCGTCTGTTTGTGAACGCATCACGCATCACAAAACCACTGGACAGATTTTGATGAAATTTGGTATGGTGATAGCTGGTTATCCGGGTCAACATATAGGATACTTTTTACTGTAGGAAAATATCTCACCTCTGAGCTAAACGTTAAAACGTAACTAGGGACGAACCCGAGCGGAGGGAGGGTGTAGTATATATTATAATAGTTTATAAAGTAGTATACCTATCTAAGGGCATTCCTGAACGATCGATAATAATGTCTATTTCAATAAGGTTTTCCAAAAAATATTCAATGTACAGATTGGCTTAGTTACAATTTTATTATATGTATAGATGTAGATTATAATCTATAATATCTCCATATCTCACTTCACATGTTGTTGTTATTTTATGATATTTTATCGGCTGAACATCAGCTTTTGGTATTGAAATTGCGCAGTAATTTGCAGCGTAATTCTATTTAATATTCTTATATATTTTTTGTATTTAGATTTTTTTAAACGTTTAATTGCATCTCAAAAACATGAGTAATAATAACAAAATTATGAAATATATATACACATGTTAATAAATAACAAATTTGTAAATTATAAGACTCATCAAAACGTATCGTATGATCCCTAACTCGAGGTGTTTACTATAAGTCATTGAAAATTTCCACTAATAACTTCCTAGCTCCATCGTCAAGTCCATTAGCGATGCATTAAATTTTTTTATTGTCTTCCGGATTGCAAATAGATACTTAAAAACATTACAATGGATACGATAATAAATTAGGAATAAGTAAAAAAAAAAAAGACTTCCAAAAATGGATACGTTTGCAATGTTTAAAATCAAAAAAAAAACAAATATTGTAAGGTAAAGGTGTCATTTTTGTATTTTTGAAAATCATTGTATAATTTTGCGGGTACGTACTGTCTGTAACAACAGATAAGTATATAATGAACCTTTGAGATGTCTAAAGTCTCAGTCTCTCCCGTGACCATGATTGTTGTAAAGCATTCGAAACGTTTGAAATAAAAAATCAAAATAATGTAGCGTAAAAACTAAAAAGATAGTTTTATTTAAAATGTCAAGGATTCGCGTATATCTAAGAAATTATTACGTTTGCAATGTTCATCAAATTATTTTATGGTCTCGATGTTCATTATTCATACAAAACATTTTGAATATCTAATTTATATTTAATTACATATACTGAAGAAATAAATTGTTAATTATGTCATGATCATCTATACTAATATTATAAAGAGACAGAGTTTGTTTGTTCGTTGGTTTGAACGCGCTAATCTCAGAAATTACCAATCCGATTTGAAAAATTCTTTTTGCATTAGATAGTCCGTTTATTGAGGTAGGCTATACATATATCAATATGCTACCCATTAATGCCAAAAATCGGGCAGACTTCCATACCTTATTGTAAAACTGATGTTTATAATCATACAAATTTAACGCGGGTGAAACCGCGGGTCACAGCTAGTCTCAGATATAATTTTCATTGTTACAGGGAATAAGGGGGTTTTATAAGGGTATTACAGCATCGTATATGGGCATCAGTGAGACGGTGGTCCACTTTGTGCTATACGAGGGTGTGAAGGCCCGGCTCATGGCGGCGCGCACCCTGGACGGTGTGCCCTCTGACCAGAGGTCTCCGAGAGACTTCCTAGAGTTTATGGCGGCTGGTGCCTTCTCTAAGACCGTTGCCTCTTGTATTGCTTATCCACATGGTGAGTGTTATTTATTTATTTTATTGGGTGTGGTGCCGAGGTCGGCCCTTGCTACGTCGACCAGTTATGGTCCATTGTAGCTATGGTGCGTGTTTGTATATAAGGATTTCATTATGTGGATTAAATGGATAAATTAGCTGATAGGTTAGTGTGGTGTAGGTGATTGGGCCGTTGGAGCAATCCCATTGTTGTTGTAGTCTGCTTCGACAGACCTACCGTCGGGGCGTCGTGGTTGAGTGTGTAAGCGATATTGCGATGCCCCATTAAGACGGGAGAGGTTTTGTTGGGTTTTAGTGGGTAGTACTGGCTTTTCTAGCCGGTGAGACCCACGTAACCACCTGTATGTCTAGGTTCAGATGGTATACGTAAATTGCATTTCCTAACATTAAAAAATAGGGTGGTGTAGCTATGTCAAAAGAGGGAAGAAAGTCGCATAAGCAAGAGATTATTATTAGATATGAATGTATATGTATAAAAATAAAGTTAGACCGAGAAAGGTATAGATGGACTGGTAGTATGGGATAAAGGTAAATTGAAGGTAAATTAGCTGATAGCAAAAATAACCTTGAATAGTCGCGTTGTAATCGTTCTTTTGTGTGCCGTGAAGGTGGCAAGCATAATATTGCTTGTTGAATAGTAATTACACGACGTAAAACGGATGTATTATCTGCCATACCTTGAAATACGCGGAGAAAGAGAAAAAGAAAGTAAAAGAGAGAGTTAAATACGAGGGTAGGTAGTTACCGCTGTAACGTTAAGATGATATGTTCCTTGGACGCCGGGTCCATCTCATGCAGAGTTTCCTTGAACATTAGATTGAGAACCACACGATGGACTGGTTCTGCTATTTAATATCTATACCTCGTTGGTCTAATGGCTAGTATGAACGGCTTATGATATGGCTATGGGTTCGAGTCCCTTAGAAATCCCTATTGGTAATATCTCTCAAGAAATTATTCGTGACAGCCTCGTACTTGATATACATAATAAAGCATAAATCGCGTCGTTCCTACGTCTGTTCTCTCAGCACGAGTGTCGAGTGTTCGTCCCACAGTACTCGTAGTGTGAAAGCATACACTGTGTATTCTCTATGCCTGTCACTTGCACGATCCTGTAGAACATATATATGTACATCTAATATATAAAATTTCCATGTCATAATGTTAGTTACCGGGTACTCCTTCGAAACGGCTTTACCGATTTTTACCAAATTTTATATGCGTATTCAGTAGGTCTGATAATCGGCTACTATCTATTTTCCATACCCCTAACTCATAAGGATAAGGGTGGTCCTCCCAGACCCCACCCCAGGGACGAACCCGAGCAGAGCGATGGTGAGTCGCTAGTATTTTTATAAAAATACACATTTACCAATTAACTTTTCACAAGTAACATTAAATTACGGAAGAAAACTTAAGCATCTCCTTCGCATTTTGTTAGTCTTATTGAGATTAGCTCACATAACTGACATCGACTAGAGGGACGGACATTATATATATACTTTTTGAATGGGCAGTATTTTCTATGTCGACGTTATAAACATAGTGATATGAACAAGTGTTCACTTTTTCTGATTAAGAAATATATCTTCAATATAATATAAGATTATATAGTCTGTTAGACACAATGATACTCAGCAATAACACTTTAATTTTTACTTTATATCTGTGAAAAATGCTTTTCGGACTTTGCACAGAATTATAAGTAGATAACGAATGATAAAACACTCGTGTATATTGGTTTTTTACTCTTTTTATCATGCATTATCTGCTATGTAGACGACAATGGTGGCATGAATTAGAAAAATCTTGTAAGTGCAACCAATCAATATATCAAGATAGGCTGATGTTTTTAGGTCAACTTATCAATGCGATTTGTAACACTGTCTATGAGACTAATCACATGCTCTACATTTCTTTATACCCTTAATATTTAAAAAAATAAAACAAGATAAAAGGAAGCTTATTCTATAAAGATTATTTGATAATAAATTAATTAAGTTAATCAATTGAGACAGTTCCATATAATTTTATTATTCTTTGAAATACGTTCAGACCACTTGGTTGTATAATGAAAATACACACAAACGCACACGCGCGCACGCACGCACGCACGCACACGCACACACACGCGCGCACACACGCGCGCGCGCACACACACACACACACACACACACACACACACACACACACACACACACACACATATATATATATATATATATATATATGAGATAAAATTATAATTATAAATATTTATTTTTTATTTATTTCGCAGAGGTAGCGAGAACGCGGCTAAGAGAAGAAGGCGATAAATATAGAAAGTTCTGGCAAACTCTACACACTGTGTGGATGGAAGAAGGATATCGCGGGGTTTATAGGTAAGGAATTAAAGCTAGCTTTATGGAGCATCCATTATTTACGTGAGACAATTTTGGCGAATTTATGACCCAAAAGATTCGCAAGTGAAAATATCAGAGGTGCGAGACCCGAGATTTGAAACCGCTTCACTCGGTTTCCCAAGCGAGTGCGTTACCACTGGGCTACCACTGCCTTGTTTACTTGTTACCATTATAATTATACAGATTTCGTATGCTGGTCACACCGTCAGCATATTACGTTGATAATATATTTTTCAAAATAAATTTATTTTTTTGGTGTCGATTCAATTCTTCCCAAGAGTGAACTCACTCCCATGAATATTTTTAATGAATACGTCATATCATCTTAAGTGTTATAAAACTATTTTTTCGGATTTTTGCTCGGATTTATTTAGATTTTTGGTTCCCGACGTTTTGCATATAAGCAAGCAGAAAAACGTTCAGTTAATTAATAGTTTTATTTTAAAATGTCAAATATTCGCGTGAAGCTTAGAAAGTATTATTAAAATATTATAATTTATGAAAATTTTCTTATGTTTAAAGACATGATGGATAGGTTTATTGTGCTTAACATCCCGGGTCATATCAACAAAGGCAATTTCTCAGATTATAACACTGATATCATCTCTTATCGGACCGATAACGAATTTGCGACGTTGATAGACTCATTCGTGATCTCGAGGTTAATTGTTATAACAATATCAGTGACCCGCCCTCGTTTCGCTAAGCCGTGTGGATTTATAAAGTTAAATACGATTAAAAGAGAATTATGTTAATCGATTTTCATATTACTCTATTAGTTTACGCGGAGCACACCAGCATGGTTCTTTGCTTGCATGCTTATGAATAAATAAATATGTTGGGATATTAACACACAGCACCATCTAGTTCCATGGTAAGCTTCGAGGCCTGTGTTATGGATACCAGATAGTTGATACACTACACATAATAACTTTAAATACATACATATATAAGTATAAACACCCATGACTGGAGTACAAACATTCGTTTATTTATTATATGCATTTCGAAGATTACATTCCCTTAGTTTCATGGAAATCAAAAGATTATTCTCGAAATTATTAAAAATAAAAAACCAAGAAACAGTTGAAAACCGAGTTTTTTGCAAATATCTCGAAAACTTTGAGGTTATTTTAAAAAGTGTTATTAATAAAAGTTTTCACTAGACTTTAAAGATTTTTACTACACCTACAACTTTTGTAGAAAGCATTTTTCGATAGAACGTCACAGTAAGCCGGAAATTGAAAAAAACTATTTTTCAACGCTTTGCGTCCCCTAATTTCTCGGGGGTAGCTACCCTCAGGATGTAGGGCATTTTACGTATTTCTATTCCTTATATACCTGCTAACATTTTAAAATCATAAAACTTCAGGTTTTCAATATATTTTTTTCTCTTAAAAATAAAAACGGATTCCGATTGGTCTATCTATATACATAATATGTACGTTTTATACAAGCGTACATATTTTATGTAAAAGTTTTAGTTAGGTATTATTTTTTACTACTGTTTGTTAATATATTCAATGCCTTTTTTCGATCTGTCGAAATGCCTCAATCGATTCGGTTCAAAGAAATCGAATGTTCTTCAATTTCTGCCGATAATGCGCACTGGAAAGCTGTGCCTGACGCAGCAAGTTTAGCTTAACCAGACCAACGAACTGTAAATGTCAATACAATGTAATCAAATATATAATAAATAATGATGTTACAACTGTAGGTTAATATAAATTGTAGAATAGTAATAATATTAAATAATTAAAGTTATAATTAATTATTATTAAATATTTTTAATGAAAATTTTGTGCGTAGAGATGTCTATTTAATCGTAGATCACTCGAAAGAGAACGAAAATGACTCGCCAATCAATCAATCAATTGGACAAGCATAGAAAGCTAGCTAATATTACGTTTCATTTGAGTTGGTCTAATAAACACTTTTAGCTCACTATTTACATATATACTATGGTTGGAAAAAACCCAAAAATGTAATGTATTTTATTATTTTAAACTGTAGATTGTAACTTATAATGAAAAGAATCCGGATCATATGGATTTGCATATGTTGCTGATCGATGTATTTACAATATTTTGCTTTATTTATCAATAAAATGTACGTTTTAGTCATCATTTTTTTAGCTATACTGAAAAAATTAATATAGCTAATTGTAAAAAGTTGTATTTAAAAATTCACACGCACGTAGGTGCGTGTCTTTATTTAGAATTAAAAAAAAAAACATTTTTTTTTTGGAATTTAATGTCGCGTGCACTCATTGTTTTTTTTTTGGTATAATCAAGTATCTATTGTCCACTAATAAATAATGATTTCTTCGCAGGGGTCTCGGAACACAACTGGTCCGCCAAATTCCAAACACAGCGATCATGATGTCCACATACGAGGCAGTAGTGTACCTCCTCACCACACATTGCAATAGCTCCTTCTATGAGAACACTTAGTAAGTGTCCACATTATGTCCTGAGTTACCCGTAGAGAGCGACGCTCGACCTAGCGCCGGTTTACACTGTAGTGCACCGATTTATTTGCAGGATTAACACTACATACACACACCGTGTAAACGGATCATTCTTTAAATTCAAAGAATAGCAAGTTAACACTGTGAGAAGTAGTTTGTTAAAATCCAAATAATAAGCGGTATTAAAAGGTAAATATTTAAATTGTTAAAATCTTATAATATCAATATATTATTAATCTTTTATTTGATCAAGCCAATCTATTTAATGTAATATACTGATAAAGGAATTTTTATGTTTGTATGTGAAGCTTTATGGTGCAAATTTGTGTGAACCAGGATTTAGACTTTGGCTTTAGGTTAGTCTAAATTGTTCCTAGACTTAACCTTAAAACTCAAAAAATTATATCCTCATGAATGATCGGTACATTTCATTTGATAATGGTTGGATATGTTTTTTGAGATGAATAAGCTTTCTTTATTCAATATAAGGTATAGAATGTATGGAAGATATTGAATAATATAATTTGTATATAGTTAAGGAAGACCATATGTCAACAATGGTGTCTTATCCACAGTCTCTTATGTTCAATTATATTCAAAATTTATAAAGTACATTTTAACTATTCATCAAATCTATCGAGGTTAATTTATTTGGAACTGTATCCATAATATTTTCGTTTGGTTATTTATCAATGTTACATAATATTTACATTTCTTTCTTCAAACATATATTATTACGTTTAGTTAATAGGTGCAGCTCACCTTTTATAATTTGTATAGATTGAAATTTTATTATATCACCCGTTCAAATGTATTATTGTTATATTCAAATCATGTTTATTACATTATATTTCGTATATATTATTCTCGTGAGAAAATCCTAGCTGGACGTGTTAGAACTTTGTTCCTTTAAAATTTAAATAAATTAAAGAATTAAATTGTACTAAATATAACCAATATTAGTCTAACATCTAAACTAAAAGGAGGAAATTTTGTTTAATACGAAATGTTACTGCCATGTCAATATGGGGTTTTTATAGTAACATGTGAGTGAAGTTTATTTGCTATCAATGTGATGTTTTCAAATAATCTGCCTACTTACATCCAAATATGAATGTAGTCATGGTTTCTAGTCTAGTTTATATTCAAAACAAGTGTACTGATCAAAAGCCATAATATGTAACCTTTTCTGATGCTCTTAAAGCCAGTTTTATTATTATAAGATTTATCTATTACCGTTTTCTCAGTTTATGTTTATTATTATTTATTTTAATATATATGAAGTGGTCATTGATTTATTTGTAGTTACTGTTAATTCATCATTCATTTAGTAGACATCTTGATCATTTGATAATACTAAGTTTTAAAATTATGATTCTTTTCACTTTAATTACTATAATATATTTTATAACACCTATATATTACATGGTATATGGTAAACGCGTATAGGGAAGGGCACCTATAAGGTGGTCAGACGCAATAAAGAAGACGCTACTCTCTATGTCGCAGTCCAGACATCGTTGAACCGAACTGAGTGGAAAAAAATCATAAGTAGTCACGATTCTCATCAGTGACGGAACAAGAAAGAACTTGGGACTGTATGATTTTGGTAAAATGTTAGTTTTGATTAAGTAATAAATTTTAATGACCACTTTATTATTTCTTAGTTTATGACATATAAGCTATACAGAATATATCAATATTTTTACATCTCAATATGTACACAAGTCCCTTTTTAAGTATAGAACTTTAAACAATGGTGAGAAAATATATAAATACATTTAAAAAGTTTACTTGTGTATGTACTGATATAATACATGAAAATATAATTTAAAAACATTAATTAACCATATATTTGATCAATTTGGCAGTACAGTATATGCTTTTGTTTTATACATATATATATTTGTTGAAAAAATTGGTGCCGATGTATGTGGCAATTAAAAAAAAACATTTTTTACTAGAACTTTTATTAATCTAGGAAGAGTCCACAATACCTTAATCATGCTTAAACAATTAATGTTCAGCCTAGCACAGGATGAGTAAGTTGTGAGCTGTGATATAGCACTTGTAAATATTAGTTACTTTGGTATTTCCATTATTTCCTTAGGGCTCTTTCTTAAACAATTTATTTTGTCTAAAAGCTTTTCTCTGTTTTAGCTTAAAAAAAATGTAAGTTTCTTATTTTTCAGATTAGTACATAAATATTATAGATTTAATGTTGATTCTTGTTATTAGGGACTGGTAAGCAGATTTCTGGTTGTATATTTGTTAAAAGAAAGCTTTGGACGTATGTCAGACTGAGTATAAGATACTATAAATTTGTTTATTAAATAAATAATTAAAAAATTCTAAGAGTATTCATTGATTGCCTATTAAACCACACCTTTATATTCCCATCATTATATAGTCAAAAACAGATAAATTTTAAGATATTATGGGTTTCAGTAAAGTTCTTATAGAAACATTAGATATTAAAACCCACACATGTGTTGAAATAGCATTAGGCATATCACTTGGATATCTGAGCATAGTAGTAAGAGGAAATAAATCTCCTTTTAAAGTAACTATAGGCTCATGTCTAAACCAAAAAACTGATACAAGAATGATTAATGCTATTACTACTTGAAGAATAACATTTATGGAACCCTTAATAGCTAAGCTTTTACTTAATCTTGATTGAGAATTTTCCTTAAGTTCACCGTCAAGTTTATTTATTCTTCGCTGCAATTTAGAAAACGCTGCAAATTCGTCTTTCATTGATATTTTTTGTTGTTCTGTTTTAAGTTTAACCAGTTCAGCTAAAATAGCGCGTTCTTCATTGGAAGGTCGAGCAAAGCACGCTGCAATCTGAAAAATAATGTTAAAAATTAATGCTAGTCGTTGTATATTTTTCAATTAATTAATTTATAAAACAACAATTTATTATAAAAAAAACAATTACTGGTTTAACTAGTACTGGCACTATAGCACTAAGCGTACAGAGAACAATGAAATAAACTAGTAGAAATCCATTTACAATCTCTAACATTGTGTATTCTGTTATAAAATAGGAATTAAATAAATAGAAAATACGTATTATTTCATTAAAACTATTGCGGATGAGACAGTTCAATACAAATTTACAAAATCAATATTTCTAAAATGTCAATCATAGAATATATTGCTACTTGTCAGTTGTCAAATTTTTGCTATTTGTCATCCATGATTGCTACCAGCCCCGGCCGAGCTCCATACAGGCGCATATTCATAAAACCGCAGGCGAATAAGAAGAAGCGGGGGCCGGGGGGGTCAAGATAGTCAAAGAAAGATTTTTCCCTATTTACCATTACAAATTAAAAAATAGCTACATGGGATATGTTATTTAATATTTTATTATATTATAAAATATACTTAAGTTAAATATGCTAAAAATGTTTTTTTTTATAAATCATATGTGCTATATATTGATTTATATAATAATATTCTAAATGATTTTAACCATTATCGAATATTTTATATTTTAATTATATTTCATATCAAACATAAAATATCTATTAACATAAGTTTTTATGTTATAAAAATTGATTTATATTTTAGAGCTGTGTCATGATATTTGCCTTAATATGGGGACAGCTAAGACATAAGTGGCAAGTCAAAATATGCTGTCACTTTCACGGCTATTGTATTTCTTTTGAGTCGCCACGCATCTCTTTCTAAGGGTATGACGTCATATGCAAATCTGGGAGAATTTAGTTCGTAGTGATGTAAAAAATCGGTATTCTCAACGATTACGATTAAGTAGGGATGTATTTTATCGTAATCTTATCGGTATTCAACAACTGTTATCGGTTTTATAGTAAGGTTTTCATTTTTATGATATTAATTATAATTAGAAATAAAATACAAAGATAGGTTTCTAGTTTTTTTATTTTACTATTTTAATGCTACCACTAGTTCGGAAAAAATGCCTCAGACCTGAGAAGAACTAGCAAGGACGGACCTCAGCGGGATAACCTTTTTTTTAAAACATTTATAATACATTGTTTGTTATTACAATAAAAGGACATTTTTAAAGAATTTTATCAATTGAATACAAAATAAAAAAATATATAAATTAGTACAACGATTTGGTATAGACAAAAATTAACAACCTCAAAAAAATTATGATTGCGAAACAAATTTCTCATTTCTTTAACAACCGTGAATGAAAATATTTTATAATACATATTATAATGCGATAAAATTAGAAGTAACATAGAACAATACTTTTTGTTAATAACGAGTTCATATTAAGCGAGTAGTAGTTTTAATTGTAGGTATAAATTAAAATCTAGCTTTTACGTTTGTTTGAAGTTTTAGCTCTAAAACCACCTTTCATCTTTATAAAATGCAAAGATTCGAGATTAGCGCGTTTGAACAAACATTTTAGACTTATACAAATTTAAAAAAATACAAATTTCAGTAAAAAATGAATAATAAAATTAATTTTCTTAAAACCTTAAGAAATTTAAAATAAAAATGTACATAGTAATAGAAAAATTTGGTGTGAAAAGAAATAAAAGCTAAAAATACTCTACAATAAAAATTCTAAATACATAGTTCTATCAAATGTAACAATTATAATTAATATATTAAAATTATACACTGCTATATTAGTATATTTTAAGAAATTATAATATTATTTCGCAGAAATCAAATGAAATATTCATATATTATTTTTTTACTTAATAGAAACATAATGAAAATGGAAAATTCTAAGTGATTATCTTTTAATTAACCAAGAAATGAAACAAGCAATAGTAATAAATAAGTTAATTAATGAACTAAATAATGAAAAAATATTGGAAAATCATTCACAACTCTGAAGACGAGTTCAACCATAGATAGGCCCTTTTGAAACTTTTGTATTAAGCAAATTTTCTATTTCCAGACCCTTTTTTCTCGAATCCACTTTATGCATTCTTCAATTAAAATTTATACACCATTGTCTAACCTTTATACATATAATAAATAATGAGAATGCTCTTTAAAATATTTCTTTATGATCTACACAAGTGTACCAAGAGGTATCAAGTTTTTCAAATACTTTAATTAATTGGGAAATATGCAAACTTTACAAATCTTTGGTAATTGTCTTTCAATTATGTAAATTGCATACCATACTAGAGATGACAGATTCTTAGAAGGATAATGTATTTTATTATTAATGAATAAAATAATCTCAGTTGTGAATAAGCCATTCTCAATATTTACATTTAATGTATTACAATAATTGTGTTCTTCCTGGAAACTAAAAGCCTTTATCAGGAGACTTATATATGCTGAAACACTTCGACTAAACACCTGAGCAGAATATACTTGACCTGTAAATATATTATTATAATAAATTAATGTAATACAACAAATGCAATAGTCAATTAATTTATAAGTATAGTATAATTACTAGTAACTATTATAGATGAATAGTAGCTTATGTACATATAGTAAGTTTATTATTATTAGGGACTAGGTAGATAAGCCAATTAAGCCCTTAACATAATACAATAGATAGGCTATAGAGTTGATAAATTGTTTTTAATGGACTACTACTGGATTAGAATAGTATAATAATATCAATAACTTCAAGAAGTTTTTTTCTTAAAAACAATTTTATGTTAAAGATAAGATAATATATACCTTAAATATATATATATATATATACCTGATCTAAAGTAATATATACCTTAATTTATTAAACTTAACAATATAGTTACTTTCATCATAACAAAAGAGTTTGGATAAATATACTTGTCAGTAAATTTTGTTAGCCTTGCAGCACCTTTATGGTCATCTACTTTATTAAACATATGAACATAATCCCATTGAGCACGCTGACTGCCAAGGAGCAAATTCTTTTTCTTAAAATTATAACTGAAACATTTAAGTAAATGAGGTACATCATACTTATGATAGATTTTGTTCCGATTAACTTCATAAAGATGTATGATTGATGACTTGATGCATTATTGACACAACGAAGTATATTTACCTTAGTATCAGAAATTAATGAATTTATTGCAGCTACATTGGCAGAACCCTGGTCAGATAGAGTTACTCTAGAATAAACACTGTTTATAAGAATTTCTATAAGTATACGTTATAAAATCGAAGTGCATCTTTATAAGGCATTCTATGGCATGAATAACCTTCTTTTCCTCTGACAATTTGGAATATTACAATGCTTTCCCATGTTTACACAACATTAATAAAAAAACAAACAAAGGAAGAGAAACACTAATGAAGAAATCACAAGTTTTGTATCCAAGCACAAATCTTAACTATATCACTGATCTACTTAATCAACACTTATCCACATTCATCAATACTAATCTAAAAATTGATCAATTGTAAATTTAAAGTGTAAAATAATATAAAAAACGGCAATCCCTGACATCCTAGTCCCCGAGATGAGTAATAACAACGGTTAAAACTTGAAAATTTCAAAAATGACAAAATGTTGCAGTGACGTCACAGCAGTGACGTCACAGCAGTGACGTAGTAACTGCGACAGAAATAAGTTGTTGTCCCACTCGTTGTCGCCAAATGTAGAGATAGCATGCTAATTACCAAGCAAATGAAAGGGATAGATAGATCCACCAAGAGCTTGTATGAAACAAATTCATCTATTTTATTTGTCATCCATGATTGCTACATATAAAAAATGTCAATGACAAAAATGATGTCTTGGTTCATTCACATTTGAAAAAAGTGAAAACATGCTTATCATTGGTGGAAACTACGAATCATACCTACATTGTGCCAAAGAATTTTGTTTTAATATCTTAAACCAAAGACTTCGCACTGTCAATAGATTCTGATATTTATATAAATCTGTAATATAATAAAACAGTAGAAGTCAAATGTCTGTACATAGCAAAAAAATGCTAAAAACCGAGTCAGGGGGATGTAAGAAGACAAATAGAACTGGATTTGTTTTGTTTTTCTACACCCCCCTGACTCAGTTTTTAGCATTTTTTTTCTATGTAGATGCATGTTTTAATAAAGTATAGATAAAAAAGTCTTTCAACACACTGAAACTAGTGCCCACTGCTGGTGCACTTAAAAACTATTTCACGTTCCAATTAGCATTGAACACTTCGGCATTGTGCGTGAAAGTGCGGCATTATGCTGTGTATGTATTTGGAAAACAGGGTCTAATAGATCTACCATTTTTTAAACATACCTATTTTAATTTTTATAGTACCTACGTCAGCTTGTGTCGTAACTAAGCATGGAAATGATTGCTACTTTTAAATCATTATCACGTGATGAAATTACAACAATTTTTCACGTTATTTCACCTGCTACTTTTCACGCATAGATTTTTGATTTCGACGGTCTGGTGTCACACTTTATATTATTTGCTATTAAAATGAAGTATGAAATGTCACCAATGGCGCTACTGATGTGATATGGAGCAGAGATATAGGATCTGACGTAGTTGCATACGTACATGGTGCTTTGAATGAATCTATTTTCAAACAATGAACTTTCCCTCATACTTCTACAGGCTTGGGACTGACAATGTAAAATTAAATGAATTTTAAATATATCAGAGTAATCACACGGTAAAATTTTATTAAGCTAAGTTCCATAATTACATTGGCGTATTTAAAAGTTCATTGTTTTTATGTACAATAAGAATTTTTATAAAAGAATTTTATACACTTTTTTTTTGTTTTTCTAAATTTTTTTAATTTGTTTATAATCATTTTTTTTGCTTTTTGATTTTTTTGATGATTGATTTTTTTATGAGATATCTATATACAATAGTCTACATTGCTTTTTAAAAATACAAGTTCCGCTGTTCGTTTTCTGCTTAATCGTGCTCTTCTTTGGGTTGCAAAATTTCCCGCTTTTGAAAATACTCTCTCACACTCCACTGATGTCACCACGATGTGACAGTGCTCATGAAATATTTCCGCCAAATTGGGGTACATATAGGAGTGAGATTTCCACCAAACTAATGGCGAAGAATCGCGCGGAAGCACTGGTTCATTAATAAACATTTCTAGCTCGTTCTCAGCGTTGGTGGTTATGTCGTCGACTGTAGGCGTAATTGCAGCAATGGTTTTGTCTATTTTGCCCCATATAGATATTGTTTCAATATCTTGAGAGGTTGAGAAATGAAAAGTAACGCCATCATGCACGTTAGTGTGACGTCGTAATGCATATATTATATTTTAAAATCAATTGCGCGAATGATTTATTAAATCATAATCTGTACGTATTACACATAATCATTCAGTAAAAATTATAAGTATTTGTTGGATAAAAAACTAAAAATGTGCTCTAAATTTAATTGTTGTTTCTAATTTAAAATTATTTCTAAACAATATTTCTAAGAATCCGAAATCATGCAACTCGAAATAAATAAACTCCCCAATTTACTGATCAACGGTATTAACTGAAAATTGTATTTTGTTGAATAAAAAATCAATAAAAACATCAGTACGAAATTGTATACGGAAAATGCGAGTAACGAAATGCATTCGTGAGTAATGTTTCGGTACTCGGTACTAGATGGCGTACCCGTTACTCAGTAACGAATACATACGGTTTGCTACAGCTCTAGATTTCACCAAGTTGTGATTTGTAGCAGCCACTATGAATTTAAGTAGCAGGTGTGACGTATGATTACGCATTTCACGTGATTTTTCACTTGCTACTCGTGAAATGTTCCATCCCTAGTCGTAACTCGTAGTCATATGTGACCTATTTTTTGACAAATAATGGCGTAACTACTTGTACTTTGACTTTTGACAAATGACAACTATTTACTAAATGAATTTGTTCATTGTTGCGTAATTGTTATTATATTAGAAACATCTGCATTGAAAATTTTGCCGGTTATTATTGGCAAATACTTTACTAAGCCAGCGGATCAGCACTGAAAGGAACGTCAAAATGTTTGTTAGTCGCAGACTTGGAACTTTAATGTAATTATTAAATTTCCTTACTATATTTATAATAAAGTGTAATAATTGCCGGTACGTGTATTTATTTGAGTGTGTGTTCCGCGCACGTAAATAATACAAATAATACATGTCTCATTATGCTAGAATTAAAAAAATATTATTTTTATATTATTTTGTAATAAATAGTAAAAATTGTAAATCAACAACTGGACAACAGCAATTGTATATTTTTATTTGCTAAACAGCTTGGTTTTTTCGTTTTTAAGCGTTATTTAATTAACTATGATAAATATCATCCTTGGCCATGATTTAAAATATATTATAATATATTTTACATAATTAAATTTCCAGCGGGAGTAGAGGAGCTTCCCGTCAAAAACACAGCCTTCCTGAGCTACCTTACGAGTACAGTGCTTTGGAGCCTGTAATCAGCCGGGAAATCATGAGCTTGCACCATAGCAAGCATCATGCCACTTATGTAAACAACTTGAATGTTGCTGAAGAAAAACTTGCCCAAGCTCAAGCTAAAGGTTATATTAATGGCTTATTATACTGTTTTCTAATGCCATCCATTTAATATGGCACAAAAATATATATTATATATATTCAGTAAATTTGTAACATTTCATAGAGATAAATACTAACAAAGTTTTTAATTTTAAACAGCAGCAGATACCAACACTCTACTGTCTCTGTTGAGTGTTGTAAAATTTAATGGTGGAGGTCACATAAATCACTCCATATTTTGGTTAAATCTAACTCCTTGTAAGACTGAGCCTTCTAGTGCTCTGTGTCAAGCAATTATACAGTAAAATTTTATATAATTTTTTTAATATTTGCTGTTTGCAATCATATATTTTTAGTATCTATAAAATTTGTCACTATTTTGTATGTATATTAGTAGTAATTATTGTTCCTATTCTTGATATTTAGACTCATTTTTATTCATTATAGTGGTATGATGGTAGTGTAGGTAATGTTGCAACTTTTATCGTTTCCAATATGTTATCATCTTCAGGTGACATACAGACAGTTATCAACTTGGCCCCAGCTCTTAGATTCAATGGGGGAGGTCACATCAACCATACAATTTTCTGGCAGAACTTGTCACCCAAAGGCGGTAAACCTTCTGATGTTTTCTCCAAAGCTATTGAAAAGTAATTATTCTTAACAATTTTGTTTCATAATAAGTTAAAAATTTTAGGATAAATATTTCTGTTCTGTTCCATGACCATGTTGTGTGGTTGTCATTAATTCAGGGGTTTTAATTTTGTCTTCCCATTCCCATTCGTTTACCTTAATTTCCTTTACTATATTTTTTACATGTTTTGGATATGGTTTTTCATTTTCAGTTTTATATCTCATGATATAATTTTTAATCTTTTATCCTCTGTTTAAATAATCAGTAGAATTTATTGTTATTTAGTATTTATTGTAATGTTGAAAATTTACTTGAAGTAAGAATTAATAAATCATTCTAAGTAATCTTTTTAGGTTCCATAGCCAAAATCCAAAAATCCTTATAAAAGCTGAATGAGTTTGATGTTTTAAAACACTTTTTTTATTTAAACTTTATATTCAGCGCTGGATATACATTAGGGGCACTCGGGCCTAGTGCCCAGGATGGCAAATTTTTAGCAACATTCGGTGGTTGGAAAAAAAATTTCTTTGCGTTATCAAAAATGCTGTCATTGACAAATTATACCTTTGCATTTTTCGAAAAAATTATGATTAATTTTTTTTTACTTTCAACATTTTATTCAAACTTTCGATAATAGGGCGGCATTTTTTACTATGCCCAGGGGCGGCGCTAAGGTTAAATCCAGCACAGTTTATATTTCAAAGTTATTAATATTCACATTGTAATTAAACACTATTGTTTGATGCGGAACCCATGGTGTAAATCAGACTCACATTTATTTATTACTATTGCATTAGTTTTTTATTTCTTAACATTTTAGTGTAAATATGTTTAGGTAGATTTTTCTTACAGCTATTATATGTAATATTTGAAAATCATTTATAGTTCTACATTATTTTTATTATTTATTTCTTTTTAAGAATTGTAACTTATTGTTATTCATTATACTTGTAGAGATTTTGGGTCATTGGAAAATATGAAGAATCAATTGGCAGCGGCCTCTGTGGGTGTACAAGGGTCTGGCTGGGGCTGGCTCGGATATAACAAGGTGATGAAGAAATTGCAAATTGCCACATGTCAAAACCAAGATCCACTGGAAGCAACTACTGGTAATCTTAACATAATATGAATTTACACTTTCGCTTAATGGACAATGTACATAATGTGTGTAATTTATTATACTATTTACATGTTATTTTAAAATATTTAATTGATTTGATTCTTTAAATAGTTTTCAAAACCTATCTATCAAAACAATGTCTCTCAAATCATTATTATTCAAATTTCTTTTATTTTGTGTTCTTTTAGGTATTGTTCCTCTCTTTGGGATTGATGTTTGGGAACATGCCTATTATCTACAATACAAGAATGTTCGTGCAGACTATGTGAAAGCCATATTTGATGTTGCCAACTGGCAAGATGTCTCAGCAAGATATGATAAAGCTCTGAATTAAAGCTTGTGTTGTTTGTAACTGCATTTGAAAATCTCTGAGTAATAATTGATTGCATTTTAGATGTTAGACTTATACCTGGTGAAGCATTGATAAGTTTTAATTCTTAATATAAATATACCTTTTAACAAACGTTTTTTTTTTTCTAAATATAATTCAAATTTTTACATATATAATGTATAATAGTTTCCAACATTTACTTATGTCTAGTTTACATACAGATAAATGTCTGTTAGTTATATCGAAATAAAGGCTTTTACTAAATGCTTATGCAATTATATATGGTTATGCTTTTATAAGTACTTTCTTATGAAAAACAGAATTTTCAAAATGTTTGTCTGTTTGTTCCGGCTAATCTCCGAAACGGCTGGACTGATGCGTCGGGACTTTCACTGTTAACTGGCTGATGTTATAAGGAGTAATTTAGGCTACTTGTATTTGAGAAAAGTAATTAGGGTTCCACTTAAAAACATTAAAACGCATTTAGCTAGACCAAAAAAACTTTAATGAGTAAATTAATTTTGTTTTTATCGTTTTACTATGCTTAAAACTAACTTTTTGATTTATATTTTTTTCTTGATTTGAAAAACATTTAATGTTATAATAGTAAAGTTTTATTCTGATATCGCGCAGTTTGAAAAATATAATTACTGCTTAAAATTCACATACACGGTATCAATTACTTTGAAAAAGACATTAAGGCATTTCTATAATGAAATGCGTAAAACGGACCGTACGTATGTCAAAATCAGAATCTGTCAAATCATACGTGATTAATTGTCAGATATTTTTTGCAGTCGCGATTGTTGTGGAGAAATAAATAAATTTACTGAAATATTCTTACTGTATTATCATAAAAAAAATATTGAAACGTTCTAGAAGAAATTGGCTTTCAGTGTACGATCTGGTAAGTGGCCGTGGTCTCTCAATTTATTAGAAAGAACAATCTACGTCAATGTTACTGTTATTGATTTTTCAGTAGCAATAGTCTGTTATATTAAATTATAATGAAAGTACTATTTTATAATTACATACTTACTCTTACTACATCTAATTACATCTAAGAATCTTTCAATTATGTTATTGTTTATTAGCAGAATTCGCAAAATTTATTTGTTATTATTTTTCGTACTTGAAGTTCGCAAAATAATTATTTCTATGCTCTAACTAATAAGAACTAAAAACTCAAGTAAAGTAGATAATAAATTTGTTAGAAGTTGTTAATAATTTATTGGCTTAATAAGATTTTCACAATAAAACACAATTTCAATTTCATTTTGAGATAAATTTATAATAAAAGAACCAAATATTTACTGTACTTATATCTATCTTTTTGTCTTTTCTTTACTTCTTTTTCAGCCTTGTATATTTTTCCTGTTTCCTTTGACTGTAATTACTTGATATTTTCAAGCCATAATGCTATAAAAGATTTTAATGTTTTGCTTGCTTTTAATTAAATTACCAGTTAGTCATCTATACAGATAAATAATGTGTCTGTTTGTACTGTCGAAATAACAGCTTTTTATTAAATGCAGAAATTATATATACAATACTTACAAGAAAAGCACAACTTTAAATTTTTTTGTCTGTCCTGTCTGTTTGTTCTGGCTAATCTCCGAAATGGCTGGACTTATTTTGATGATATAGTCACTGGCAGATGGTTGATGTTATAAGGAGTAACTGAGGCCACTTTAATTTTAGAAAAAGGATTAGGGTTCCTCTTAAAAAATTAATATGTACCTAGGGATGCATCGAGTGAAGCTAGGATAAGACACTAGTTAAATATATAATTGATAAATAAGATGTTGCAAAATGATTCATAGCTTTGCACTTTTATATTTGTTATCATTTCTGACCTACCTTACTGTAGAAGCCCAAGGAATTAATGTGAAATATGGGAGGGATGTTCATGCAAACATGTTTGTCATTGTTATCAAATAGCTGATCTTTTTACTGAATTTTCTAAACTAGTTCTTTTATAAAAAAATCATCAAATTTGCTACAAAATTCTTGTTTTTTTATTATATTATAATTTACTAGAGGCTCACCCTTCGCTCAGGTTAGCCTACAGGACAGCAAAAACAAACCTTTTCCATGGGAACCACCATACATACATTTTTCTGGGATAAAAAGTAGCTTATGTGTTATTCCAGACTATAATCTATCTCTGTGCCAAATATCATCCCAATCCAGTTCAGCCATTATGGTGTGAAAGAGTAACAAACATCCATACTCACAAACTTTCACATTTTTAGTATAGATTTTTGTTTCTTAAGTGTTTATAATAAGTAGAGATTTTTGCATGGAATGTTTTTATTTATTTAATTTTTAACATGAATTTTTTTTAACTTTAATATATTAAAATTGTATATCTATTATATAATTTATTAATATTTAAGAATTTGAAATTTACCATTGTATGCTTAGGTTTAGTAGGCTTTTTTTAAATAAAATATTATAATTTAAAAACTTTAGATCTGTCAATGAAATCTTACCTTAAATGGTATATATGTATGTACTTATAAAATATTTGTGATTATTGTTAGTGAATTGTAGACATGCAAGACCTACCTCAGAATGGATACATTGCATGATTGCAATTAGGGGAATTTGCCATAAGTTGTCTAGAATCATAGGCAGTACCTAGGGTTGCCATGATTTAAGTCAACTATTTATGGAATGTGCTACAAATGTTATACATGAATGAAAAATATGTGTAGGTCTATATCTCGATAGATAGACTACTTTTTATCCTGGAAAAGTAAAGACCTTGGTGTAGCTTGTATGGAATAAGATTTAAATGTAAATTATGCTAATTATCTTATATCTTGAGGGCTCAGAGAATCCATGATGTATTTTACATATTTACAAGGTACTTTTTATGGATTAACATGACCATATTCTGCATATTATGCATACAAAGGTTGTATTTGTTTTTAATATAATAAAAATTTGCAGGATTCAATATGTGTGTATGTTTGAATTGTAGTTATCTTTTACTTTTAATGTAAAGAAAGTAAGCTTATGTTGTTTATTTACTCTTGAGAATTCAAACAATAAACATGGAGGCTTTGCATGCAGTTAAATATATTGAAACTGCCCTAATTGTATATTTGACAGTGATAAACGAGTCCTACCCCAAAATGTACGAAAGTGCACGAAATTTGTAAATGTGTGCCACATGTGGGATAGGTCCGGTTCTCGTTAAGGGTAACCATCAGTTTGGAACAGTAAATAAAATAACTATGTATTTAGTTAATTTATATTTTATGCGCAAAATATTTATAAATTACGACCCGAGACACCGTGTAAAAACAAGAAAAGCCTATTAATAATAATATACTAAGTTTAGATAATTGTGATCAATATATATAATCGATCAATTGGTTGCTCAAGTGACTAGGCCAAATTGTTTATTTGGTTAAAATTTAGAATTTGTCAGTAGCTTGGAGTTGGGAAGTAGCAGTGTAACATCTTCGTGCTTTGAAGAGCATGTAATTCCTTCGTCTGGAACATCACTGGATCGTGTTGAATTATTATCATTGTAAAGTATCTCCTCCTCCTCCTGTTCAGAAGGCTTATTCTGTCTGGAGCATTTGATTTTTCGAGTGAGTTCGCAACTTTCGGCATAGTAAACAGCTACACTATTTTACCAATAATGAAAGATATATTTTGAAACAAAATTAAAAGTAAAACAATAATTCTTTCTATAGCCAGTCCTTCCTATCACACTATCCTTTTATCTAAAGTCCGTGGACTATCTAAATTATTGTCGTCCTAGTATGATGTGTTATCGAGCATGGCGCCGCACGCGATTCTGTCGTCGGTGAATGCACTCTGTGGGGTCTCATCTATAATATATTCAGGTTCTGAAACTACTGACGTACTGGCGTAAAACTTTTTGCCCACTTTAATATTTGTCTTTTGCACTAAATAATGCATCCAATTGACAATTTCCATAAATTTCTAAAACATAAATAATATGTATAATGTTAATTGTCAAATCAGTATAACATTACACAGCATTACTTTTATTTTCCGTAGTTAAACGCTTCATTAAACCCCTTCGTTTTATGACTTGTAGCCAGGAAGATGATTGTTATAAGGTCAACGAGCTCTGGGTGAATGAACGCCAAATATAATATGACTTTATTAGTAGTTATGTACATATAGTAAGTACCTACGTTTGTATGATAACTATCTACAGCCTGCAATTTCATTCATATTTGTATTTCCATTCTATCTATGTGAATTAAAGTTTATCAAGTTCTATATTTAAAAAATTATGTATTTTAAACTAAAAATATACAACACAAAGGCACACTAAATAAATATTTACTGCACAAGTCAAGTCTGCCTGAAATTGTGGCAAGAATGATATGTCAATACTCGAATTCCCCCGATGAATTGCAATGACAATTATTTAGGTAATGAAATGAGTCAGCTCTTACATAGCTTTACTGGCGAGTAGAATCGATAAGACGAGGGGTTACTTCTTTCAAGAAGTTTTAAACACTTAGACTCTATTTGCTAAGAGTTTGCAGATCAGCCGTTTCTACCGCGATTTCTGTACAGACGTCTTCTTGTCGGTCTTTGCAAAGGAACCAGCATTAAATCACCACGTTTATTGTTCCTTATTCCATCTCGATTTATTCTGAATTGGGAGAGCAGGAACGTTATTGGTCGCGAGAGCAATTATAATGTTGTTTTTAGAGATCCATGACAGAAAAGTATACCTGAACTTATTGCACAGTCTATGAAGTCCATAAAGTTTTCTACACAAACCAGGTCGTATATTTAATTTTTATAACCGTAGCGATCACAATTGTCATCTAGATCCGGGATTAATTTAAGAGCAGCCACTAACCCGATTTTTGGACGATTAAGGTGTTAAAAAAGCATGGATTTGACACACTTGAGATATTTTGAGTAAATTTTTTTATGTACAACGATATGTATGCACTATCGTGCATCATGAAGTTTTTGTATAGAAGCTTTCT